CATCATAGAGCGATACTTCATATATCCTCCGCTTCAGTGACAGGTCTGTAGAGGAAAGCTGCAGACACAGGGTGGAGCCTGCTCCTACACAGGGGTTATATGTGTGATAGGAGGCAGAGCTGAAAGGGAGGAGCTACCCTGGCCCTTTGGAGCCCAGACAATTCCATCATAAGCCTCAGATACTAGACAAGTAGAGCTACTTGACATCAGGTATAGGATGTGGTATTTGCTACGTTGTTTTGGTCCAATCTCTCCTTGCTGTGTCTCAACTTCTCATTGTTGGCACTAGGATTTTTACTCTGGGCTGTTGTGTATTGACAACATGTAACTTGTGATTTACCAACCCACAGACTTCGGGGGGTTGCCTTGAGAATGTAGTGCAGTTGGTGGACTGTTTAGTTAGCACACATAGAGACCTGGGTTCAATCCCCAGCCCACAGAAATTTAACATAGAGGACACGCTGTAATCCCGGCATGTCGGATGTGGATGAAGAAGGATCACAAGTTCAAACTCTTGGCTGCCTGGCAGGTTCCAGGGGAGCCTTGGGGAGGATGGGAGAGAAGAGATTGCCTTGGACCTTTGAGTGTCAGGACTGTTGGCTGTGGACTTCTGTGGTACAATGCAATTGAAATTGAAAGCTTGTTGCCGGCAGGTCCCAGGCCCTCGTGGAAAAGCTGCTGTTGTTTTGCCAAATGGTCATGACAGACCCATGGAATTATCCTCTACATAACTTGTTCACACCCAGAGGTTAGCGCTGTGTTAGCTTCGCTCAGAGCATCTCTTCTCTGCAGTCAATGCTGACTGTCAAGATTCACAGCTGGTGAAAGTACTGGGAGTGAGAAAGTGGTGGAGTCTTAGCCGTAAATGGGATGCCTGCATCACCACTTCGAGCTCAGGGAACATCGCAGAAGGCATGGAAAGAATGGAAGAGCTGGAGGGCGGGGGCTGGGGAGTGCTATAGAACAGTGGCTTCCAGACACACATAGCCATTGACCTCTTGAACTCCAGCAGCTGTGATTACATTGACAAGATCTGGACAGGACTGGGTCTGTCAACAATCCATCATGGAAGTGGGAGGGACTCACGAGGTCCCCTCCCTCCCTCGCCCTGAGGATTTATATACACTTGATAGTTGATGGGGGAGGGGGAGATGTTTTCTTCAGTGGTGTAGTCACTGGTAAAGTGCCCACGCTCCTGGAAACAAGCCTCCCCTGCGCTCATAGAGCCAAGCCTAATGAGACACACTGGGAGCCTCCCCCCACCACCACGAAGTATAAAGGAGGTAGAGAAGAGGAAGGAGACTGGTGAGAGTAGGACTGGGGCTAGAGAGGGAAATGGGAGGAGGGTTAAATATGATTGAAAAACGTTATTCATGTATATGAAAATACCATAATTAAACCCAATATTATGTATAATCAGTATACTTTAATAAGAGATACCAAAACCCAAACCAAGCAAACAGATGAGGACAGGCTATGGAGACTCGTGAGGCTGCAATGAAAGCATCCTCCTCTATGAGCTGGCCACCAGTCCACCGGGGCAGGAGCAGAATGGTCTGGTTTGAATGTAAAATGTTCCCAGGGATTCATCACATTGAGTAAAGCCCGATCATAATCTGAAGACGAGCCAGTATGAAGGGGAGTTGCCGTTTATCAAAGGGCATTTTTCACAGATCTAAGAACGTCAGTTCACAGACGGAGACACTGAGGGAAGGAATGAAGTGAGCCTGAGAGGATGACTGGGTCCTCAAAGGAGAACTGTACTCCATGGTCTTTACAACAGCAATAGGCAGGATTTGGGTCATTTACAAAGTTATTATCTCAAATGACTGCTAAGGAATTCCAATGAAATCCCGGGGTGGTTTCTGAGGGCCACCTCACGGGCTTGCAATTGCTGAGGTGAAAGTGCAGGCAGCAGGGTTGTAGGAAGCTAGGGTACCTTCACTGTCCACAAGGCTAATAGTCCCATTTGTGAAACTTCCAGAAAATGCCAGGGGTAAGGGGACGGTATCAAATGCACTTGGCCTCAATCGTGGTTTATTGTTGTTGTAATGCTCTTGTTTACAGAAATATTTCCATATAAAAGAAACACTGCCTCTTAAAAAGTTTAAATGCAAGCCTTATTATTGTTCTTCTGAGTGTGGTGGGTGCGCTGGTGATGGCTGCTCTGTGTGGTCACTACACAGTGTTGGGAATAAGACACCTACCAGTAGACACAGAATGAAAGGAAGCTAAAAAAAAAGAATGAGAAGATATGTAAATATTGTGACAGTAAAATAGTGATCTCCCTGAATATGAAATTAAAATAATAACTGGATTTGATACACTGTAATTATTTCTTCTAATCTAAAATCTCCCCAACCATATAATTTCAGGGAGAAATAGAGGCATATTAATCATTTGTTGTTGCAAATGCAACTGTTCAGGAATTACAAACTGTCTCAAAATAGTCAGCAGATGATGAAGCAGGAACTAGCACCCATCTCATCCCCAAGTGTTTACAGTGAAAGAAAGCACCTTGTCTCTAAAGACTGCAAAGGCTGGACAAGAGAATTTAGAAAGCTTGGAAAACGATGTAAGAAAAATGTGTTAAAGTAAGTACATTTTGGTCAGAATGTGTTTATGCAAATACAGCTAAAAGGAAGGGAATATAGAGAATTAAAAAACAAATTATTCATCATTTTAAAGTATTTGGTGGATGGTTGCATGATGTCCTTGAGCTTGGTCCTAACCGATAATGAGCAATCTGGAGGTGGTGGCAGACTGCGCTTCATGGATGTGAGGGCTGGACTGCGGCTACCCCAGGGCACTATGCAGTGGGGCTCCAGACACCAGAACTATCCCAAGGGCTGGGGCTAATTAAACACTTGAGGAAGTGTGCTAAGCACTTGGGAGTTTATCTGGATTTTCAATGTTTTTTTCAAAAGAGACTGTAATGTGTTTAAGGTTCTACTAAAGTCAGGCAAGTTGTACCGTGGTTGTCAACCAAATCTTGGCATGAATTCAGAAATAAATGGTATAAATGAAAACATCTACTCAATACAGAAGGGTGATTTTTGAAGATATATAATTAAAATTCTGTTAGCACATTACATTGAGGGAAACAGGACAGTAAAGTCTTTATACATAGTGTTGAACAGGTGTCCAGATGAACTTATATCAAGAATACTTTTTCTGTAAAATTTTCTGTGCAAACATAGTGCATCCAGCAACATTCATGGAAGAGGTAAACAGCACACAAGGACACTTCTGGAGGTATATATCAAAATCAGCTGAGCGTGTCATTTGGTTAATATTCAACAATAAGGAATTTGTGGCACACCTTTTTTTGTTCCTAGGGACCACCTTTTCAGAAAGCCAGATGTTGTATTATCATTTATTTTCAAACCACACATGAATAGTATTATGTTGCTATTTGCTTCTTTTTCCTTTGGTTGAAAGAAAGCAATGATTTTTTTTTTTTTAAAAAAAAACTATTGTAAGATGCAGGGCCAAACAAAACATTGTTGTACAATCCTGAAAGTAGTTTGATCTGAAGTTAAGTTTCCTAGGAAGATGGGAGATAATTTCTCTATTTAAAATTTTATTTTCTCAGGTCTTATATAACTGATGAAAGCTAATCACATTTATTAAAGGTGGCCATATTGTCACTTGTTAGACACCCCTCCAAAATCTTTCAAATTCAGCAGATACCGAAGTAAAGATAGACGGGTGTCTTTAAGGTAACATTAAGACAATGAATACACTTTCTGTAGCTGTAGACCTTTCCTTTGGATGAAGTAAATACGTAAGTAAAAATATATTAGTTTTATCGGTTCAAACTTTCAAACTGAGGCATCCCAAGTATATTTTAGCAAATACCTTTTGAGTTTATTTCTTAAAAATGGCATATCGGGAGGAGAGGAGGGAGTAGAAATCGGGCTTGGTATGTAAAATGAAAATAGATTGCTTAAGAAAAGGAAAGGAAAAATGCCATATCCTCGGTGTATCAAGCTAAATGTTAGAAGAAAACGGAAGACCTCCCTGAGTGACTTTGTTTACACCTCTGCATTTTAGCTTACTTCCAGTTAGCAAAATTGTACCCGCTCTCTACAGTTGAAATTAGACACACGGTGACGTCTGCGGTAGTCACTGCATCTGCTCTGATGGAGAACAAAGCAGCTCATCAACAAGCTGGGCTCATCAATCACTCCTAGATATTTGACACGTGCTGGGAGTTGTATACAGATGGTGTGATTCTGTAGCAATGGAGAAATGAGTAGTAAAAGAAACACAAATCTTTAAAAGTTGCATGTAATTCACTACTCCAGGGCCATTGTTTTCACTGTCTTTATTTTGCCATATCCCGTTTCACTCTAGTGCCCTTATTTTAACATTGAGTTTAAAAACAAGAAAAGATTCCTCTACCTTGCCATAGTAAATGGACCTGTCTCTTAGAAGGCTTTGGTTCTTCTGAGAGATTTTAACTCAGGTAACACCATATGTCAAACACACAGAAATAACACATCATAAATAGCACATAACTAAATTTCAAAGCCAGAAAAATATACCGTACCATAGCTTGCAAACTGTCTTTAAGTCAGAACACTTAGAAGTCAAGAGATTATTGACAAGTCAAACGAAGAATTTCAAAGTCGTGTGCATGAAATTCTTAGTTAAGGAATGGGTTTGTCTAGCCACTTTCATTCTTCCCAAAATAGCATCTGCTCTGGGAAAGGGTCCTGGGTGATCACTCCCAGGATGACAGCAGAGGGCTGTCCGAAGAGAAGCACCAGTCTCAATTATCTCTAATAGTAGGATTTTCCTTTACTGAACAAACAATTCTGCTCTGACAGCCCACTCAAGACAGTTTTTATGTTCCAAAACCAATTAGGTTTTTCCCCCTCAGATCCCCTAAAAATTGTTGCCCTAAAGCTTAGCCACACTGCAGGCTCCCCTCCCTCCACCCCACCCCACAGCTCAGCTTTAGAAAACTATTTTATCTTTGAAACTGTGCACTAAAGAGCTGCATAGGAGCGAGTGTCACTTCCTGCTTAGACTGAGATTTAATACTGCCCCCTCTGCTTACTGAGGAGGTGACTTAACACCGGTGATGGCAGCCACATCATGGTCACTTGCTTTGGTCTAAGGTAAACTTGGCAACTTTCCTTTATTATTTATTCAGTATAGCGGCAAAGAGAAAAATGAGCATTTGCCCTACCACCTCCCCAGCAAGCAACACTCTTCAAAATCATACCCATGAAACATAACTGGAACCTGAGACACACCTGTGAAACCCAACCAGAGCCGGAAACACCACACTGTGAAACACAAACGGAAGCTGGGAAGTCCTTGTCCCACAGGAGACTTAATGAACTCAGTTTGGGCTAAATAAGTCTCGCCCTATTGTTACTGTCTGGATATCCTCGTAGGACATTATTTCTTAATTTGAAAATTATTCCATCAAGTACAGTTTAGATGTGGTCAAGGTAAGGATAACTGGGGTCTTCTACACTTAACTATGTAGCTACAATTTCATTAGCTTGGCCTGAATTTGTGGGAGGGTTTTTAGTTTGTATCGCCTGTGAAACAGACGAGGTACATGTGAAGAAAATGTCAGTCTTTCCTCGCCCACGCGAGAGCAGCCACACAGCGAAATCTTTCCGGTTACTTTCTGAACAGCAAGAAGAATTCCTGCAGTTGCCTCTGAAAGTCAGTGCTTTTACGTAGCCACATTTTATTCACTCAACATGCTGGTGACATCCTCCAGGGCACACATATTAAACAAATAAACAAACAAAACCAACCCTGTAGACCACATAGCCACAGATAAGACTGTGCCTCAAGTTCACCGTCATTATTTCATCGGTGTTAATATCAGAAAAGTTTACCAATGCCAGGGAGCACTCTGCCCCGTGCAATGTTTCCATTTGTTCTCACTGTGGCTCCTCACCTCACTCCACAGGTCTCCTATAACCTTCTTCTCTGTGTCATAAATTGCACTGTTAGATTTGGGGGGCAGGAATTGAATGTCAGTCACCACGATGGTGGTGATCATTACTCTGGGACCCTGACTACTTGGTATACTGTACCGTACTGTACTTTGTGATTCGACTCCGAGCCATGCTAGGGGAGGCAGACCCAACTGTCTGGCTAAAGTGGTGGTCAGAAGAGCTTCTCATGTGGCCTATAGTGGCTGTCCCGCCCATGCTGCTCATGCCCCCGCCTCCACTAAAGCTGGTCAGCCCGGTGCCTCCACCACCTACTCCAGCCCCACTCAGACCCCCGCCACCAGCACCCATGGTGCTAACCAGGCCGCTGCTGCCTATGCCTCCAACACCACCTATTCCCGTGGTGCCGCTAATGCCACTTACACCGGCACCGGAAACCACCCTCTCCGTCACAATCACGTTGTGGGCATTTGATAGCTCAGGGCTCATGCTCAGGTTGCCCACCATGCTGGAGGTTGGTTGGATCACCCTTTCTGTCACAACCACATTTGAAGACTCTCTAGGATTAGGGAGGGTCAGAGAGGTGGGTAGACTTGAGCCTGGGGCTATTACCCTTTCTGTCACTATAACGTTGGATCCATCTCTTAAGTCAGGGATCTCTAACATTCCGTGCAAATCAGCACCAGAGATGGGGCCCACTACCCTCTCTGTCACCACCACATTTGAAGCCTGTCGGTTATCATGAAAGTGGACAGAGGGCTTCAGAGTGCCAGAGGTGGTATATGACTCCATGACAGTGACATTACCATAGCCTAGAGGGTCAGAAATCTGCACAGGGTGCTGTACACCAGGGCCGGAGGGGTAGGTGTTCTCAGAAATTACTGTGGTAGTGCCATAATGTGGGGAGATGGGTGGGTGTCCGCTATTAAGGGGCTCTGTCTGCTGGGGGCACATCGGCTCAGAGCTCTGAGGAGGCCAAGATGGTTCAGGATCTGGATAGGAGTCTATTTCTTTTCCCAGGCTGATGTCTGCCAGTTTCTTAAACTTGGGCCCCAGGGTATCCAGGAAGCTTTCATCTAGATCTTCTCCGATGAAGCTGCAACAGCCCACGGAGCCTGCAGGGGAGCCTACACCTTCAATGTCGTAGATGAGCAAACAGTCATTGGATGGGCGTCCTTCATCTTCGTCGGCATAGGCGTAAGCTTTCTGAATTTGCACAGGAGAGAGAACATGAAACAAAGAGTAACAACAATTTTAGAGTTGAATGGATCTAAATTCTAATACTCACTAGAACTACTTTAAATATGATTTCCTGGATGCTTGAAAGAGTAATTCCAGGACATCTTGATCTATACAAATTTTTCTGTAGATGGACTTGCTCTTACTAGTGCACTTTGAACACAAAAATCACATTCAAATATCCATATGCTTATTTTTATCAATAACTTAAAGGAGGGACATAAAAATAGGGTGCACAAAAAAGTTAGTGGGAGGGATGGTTTTGGTCTAAAGGAATACTTACAGTTGACGGGTTCGCTTGGGGTTGCATCTTTTTTTATTTAGGCAAGATGAATGCAATGATTCTGGAAGCTAGTTTTGATATTTTTTGACAAAATGGAACAATTTGATTCTGGATTCAGGTTTTGTTGGCAACATCATGTAAATAATTCTTGGGTTGGAATTATAAAGATAGTAGCCATAAACTAACAAATTTTAGCAATGATAAATTATAAACTGTGTTAAAAAGAAAATACCACAAAGTGTGGAATAAAGGTGGATCCTGTTCTGGATGAAACAGTTCACTGCTCAAGACAACAGCAACAATAGCAAAAAACAAAACAAAACAAAATAATAGCAGCAACAACAACAACAGAAAACCATGATTGCAGAGTGGACTAGAGTGACCAGAGGCTCGAGGTGGGCAGTGGGCTGTGAACAAGGTAAGTGAGCTGAAGCTGAGGGGTAGATGCCGTTGTGAGGTGGCACCTGAATCATCAATTAGAAATTCATACTAGAGACAAAATAGAGCCCTTGGCAGGAGAGTAAAATGCTCTGGCCAGAGCTTCAGAAACATTCCACAACAAGAGGGGCTGCCGGGCATGAAGATTAGATTACTGCCACATCCCTGGGGAGTCGGTGGAAGCTTGGAAGATGATGGATGGAGAGAAGCTCATGACTGAAAGCCTTACCTGGCAGAAGTAGCTCTCCATGAAGTTCATGTTGAGACCTCCGTCTCTACATTCTCGCATTGAGCTTCTTCTTAACGTTCCTGAATAGTCTTGGCAGATCTCAGGTGCAGCGGATGTTTTAACTCCGTCCATCATTTCAAATCCTGTAGTTCTTTCTCCTCCTCCCAGATCTTGCATTTCTCTGCCACAATACTCATTTGTATAAACTCCTAAAAACATTGAAAACGTCAAATTCATTTTTCTAGTGTAATGTAAGCTAAAAACTAACTTATTATCATGAATAGTTTCTTCATTCAAGGCTGTATTTGTGAGTAGAGAGATGACGTGATGCACGAAGGATAGATAATTGTGATGTTTAATCCCAAATAATATTAATAAAACCTTAATAATAGTCGGTTTGCTAATTTTAGTTATCTGTTGGCAGACTTTTCTATATGATGCGCTGACAGACGTGCAATGAAGTAATAAACATTTGTGGACTGAATGATCTCAAACTGAATTACATTGAGTTAAGTAGTTCTAAATCTAAAAGTTAAATAAGGACATCAGGGTATTCCCAATGGGTTCCTGGGTGCACGTGGCATCCTGTAGAAGGCACAAGAGCCACTGGGTTTCCAAAAGAGGCCATAGTTACGATGAGAAGAAAGATTCCTGGAAGTATCTTGGATAAGCTCTTGGAAGTAGAGAGGAAAAGCATGTTACATGCTTGAGGGGTGAAATAAAACGTGACCAGAAGTGGGGGATCCACATTAGGATGCACACCCCATGACACAGCACTCTAACTTGAGTTTGGGGGAGACATACTTTTCATATTCCAATTATCCTGATGTCTTCCATGCTACTTTAGGAGCTGTATGAAAATTCAAAGACTTAATGAAAAATCAGTGCATAAATAAATATTGGTGATTTTGGTGAACTGATGGGTCCCGGGAACCAACTGGGGACTGGTGGGGTAGATGTGATCCAATGAGGACATATTGGCAACACTAGCAGAAATGGAGACATCAGGACGAGAAATGGGACTGGTGATCTATTGTATAGGAGATATACAGACTATTGAATCCAATTCTACAAAATAGAATCCTTTCTGGTGCCTTTTAGAGTGTTCAAAGAAGAAAAGTAATTTTTTAGGGGATGGAGAGATGGCTCATTGGTTAAAACCACTGGCTGCTCTTGCAGAGGGCCTGTGTTTGGTTCCTAGCCCCACATAGCGGCTCACAGCTGTCCAACTGTAGCTACAAAGTATCTGACGCCCTCTTCTGGCCTCTGAGGGCACTACACACACATTGTGCAAAGACATGAAAGGAGGCAAGCACTCATACATATAAAATAAAAATATCAAAATCTTTAAAAGGTAGTAATTTCTCAAAAGATTGAAAGAAAACTGATGGAATAAGTAGCATTTACTGTAAAAATTATAAAATAGTAATACTATTTCAAAAATATAAAATAGTAGGACTATGTCTAATGACAGAAGAAGTTATTTTAATTGTTCTTTTTATTACAGTAGTAGCTTCCTGGTTTCTGCTTGGGAATTAGTCTATAGATATTTGGTTCAAGATGAGTTGTAGATACCCAGTCTTAACTCTATGTAAAGAGGAACTTGCCCATGTGTGTACAACCTTAGCTGAAGGCTTTGAAAGGTTTTGAATGTGTTTTGTCTACTTGCTTTCAGTTTAATAAATGAAAAAATTATTTTATAGGTCAGTGTTTATACTAATGCCAATAATGGACATATTTTTTCTCTGAAAAAAAAATGAGTAGGTAGCTGGGTGGTGGTAGCACATGCTTTAATCCCAGCACTTGGGAGGCAGATTTTCTGAGTTCGAGGCCTGCCTGTTCTATAAAACAAGTTCCAGGACAGCTAGGATTGTTACACAGAGAAACCCTGTCTTGAAAAATAAGGAAAACAAACAAATAAGCAAAAAAAGATTAGGTAAAGTAAAACAAAACTGAACCACCCTCTTTTTCTTACCTGAGTTGTCAGGTATACATTCTATAATATTGGCATTACCAGGTAGCATTTGTGGCACACAGATGGTAGCTATGCCCTAAAAGACAAGAGACAACATTTTACTATTAATAATGAGTCTTTTCTTTCTCTACTTATGTCTTTTTTTAATTCTAAAATTGTCACAGAATTCCTAAAATAACACTATTTAGGAAGCTTTTGAATTCTTCTTAAAAGTCAAATCACTTGTTTAAGTCTTCCCTGGTGACTTCTGCCGAGTTTTGATGACCGCTCTTCTTCCTTATTCCCTACCCAAGAACCAAGACTCGTGTAGACTGAATGATTCCCACCATTTTAGACCATGTCTGGACCCTGGGGTCTAGTGAGCTCCCAAATTCCATTCTTACAGATAAGCACTTACATCGTGGGGTTCGGGCTGTGGGCCTTCTACTGCCCATGTGTGAATTGCTCCATCAGAACATTCTGGAACAGGCTCAAAACCAGCTCCACCACCAGGGGCACCTCCACAATCACAGCAAAGCAACAAGAATGGAACCACTGTGGAAGAGAGAGAAGTAAGGGGTTAGCACTGGGCTATGTTGAAAGAGAACAATCTGATCTCCAAGCATTAAATGAGAATATGACAAATGAATAATACCAGACCCCCAAATAAACATGAGCTTGGAAACACCAGACTGCAGTGGATTTTAATCTGTTTAGAGTATTAAAATTACAGATAAAATCATTTGATTAAAATGGTTGATTCTTTTTCCCACCATCCCTCAGGAAAACAAGAGAGACTAAAGAAAGTCAATTTCAGGCAGCCTTTTGGAACCTTTGTGCCTGTACTTACTATTCCAATGCACACATTTTTCTTTCTCCTTTTTTAAGAAAAACCTCATTCGATTACTCAGTTATCCTCACGAAGGTTATTGTTTCCCCCCATGGAGTCCTCTTTTTTTAAAAAAATATTTCACACATAAATAGACACGATCATACTTTGGCAATGTCTTCTCTTTCTTATCTGTTTGAGGTATCATTCGTGTATTTCCTATTGTCATAGAACCTTGCTAGATCTTTTTGAATGAATGGATACAAAGGAAAGGTGTGTCAATGGTAGAAGGGAATAAAGATGGACATAGGTAAGAGGGGAGGAGAGGAAGAAAAAGAAGGCAAAGAATTTGATGAGTCTTGCTTGTTTAGGATAGTTATAAAGCTCGGAGAAGCTTCTCGACACAAAGGCTTATGTATAACATTGAAAGTCTATTGGTCACATTATCTGACATTGGACAGTGATATTAGGGAAACTGAAAAAGAAAGTTAGCTATTATTTAGGGTGGTCACCATCAGCTCTTTGGTATTTAGTTTGTTTCAGTAAAGCAAAGACTGGACTAGAAATTGTGAGGATTATCTCAACCCTTGTCTACTTCACATTCACTCTGCATTCTTGCATCTTCCTTTATTTGTTTCATTTTGATGAAAAAATGTGTTTTTAAACTTGTTATCTTTCTCATTGTACTTTTCCTGGTTCTTATTTCCTTTTATTTCTATTTATTATGAGCCAATAGCAATGAATTTCTGTTACTTAACACAGAACGTTCATTTTATCTTAAACGTGTTTCAAACTCTAGGGACAGTGCTCAACTTTAAACTTCTCTCTCAGCATGCCCAAATTTCTCTGTGATTTAGATGGATCTATGTCAATGAAACATTATTTAAAGTCAGAGAAAGCCTGGTATCCATTTGTAGCTATTGATACTTAAGAGAAATGAAGAACAATTAGGGAGGTGGCTCAGCAGCTAAGAGCTCTTGCTCTTGCAAAGGACCCAGGTTCTGTTACCAGGTTCTGCTCCTCTCCACAGCTTCAGTTCCAAGAGATTTGTGGCACTCTCTAAGGCCTCTGCAGGCACCAGGTCCACATGCCTCATGTTTGCATATGTGTAGGCAAAACAGCCATATGCATAAAATAAGAACAAATATATCTTTTTGAAAGGTAGAAATGATGGCAGAACACTATTTTAAAATTTTGTATGTGAGTTATCTCAATGAACATTTTGTGAATAACTAGTTAAATAGGTGAGACATGTTTCACCACCAGTATTTTATGATTCTACACTTGAAATTGGCAATTTTCACATTTTTGTATTTATTTACTTGGAGTTTTGCTGTATATATCTCATGCTTGTTTCAAACTCATGATCCTCCTGTCTCCACCTCCCAATTGCCTGAATGGCAGATGTGTGCCAGCTCACACAGTTGCAAATGTCAACACTTGCATTAACTTAATGACAATGTGTAGGCTTCAAGATAGTACCCTCGTCCCTTTCCTCTCCAGCTCCCACCATAATCCAGGGCATTGGGAAAGTCCACCTGGGACACCCAATGGACTCTGTGTTTGTATTTCTGTCCAGAACTAAAGCTACTGTAGTGACCCCAGGACGTACCATGGCCTTCACGTGTGCCAGCTTCCCATCATCTAGTGGTGTTGTGAAGGAAGTAGCAGTAAGTATTTTGCAAGAACAACAGCAAAACTCATAACTGTTAGGTAATCTTTGGAAGACATGCTTGTTAAGTTGGACACCTGCCCTGTTTGGTTCTTTTCATTAAACTTTGCCACCCTGCATTGCATGCGATCCTCCAGGATCCAGCCTGGCTTTCTAGCTGATCCTTTACCACACAGACCCGCACAACTTTAAAGTCTTCACCCTGAGAGTTCTCTATATTAATGTGAAGCCTTTTGTGCTCTTGGCTTTTTATGTAGACCCTGCCGCCCCCAGTAAATTGAATACCAAGCACAGACATTTCTGGATGATTACACTCTGTAGGAGGATGTAAATTATATTTTATCAAGGAATGAAAATCCTATTTCTTTCCCCATCTTTTTTGAGAGGCCCATGCCAAAGGAAGTGTTGAAGCACTTACATCCTAGGATTAAGAACCCCATGACGAGCAGCCCGATGCCTGCAGGACCCAAGTGAACGTTGTCTCCAGTTCGTTGCCGGTCAACAGTACCATCATCACCATTATTGTAGTTATCTTCGTCACGACCGCCATTGTTGCCATTATCCCATGATCCTGTGTTGACTTGTGTTTCTTCAGTGGAAGTATTTCCACTTGTGCCACTTCCGGAACTGCCACTACCCCCTGTAGTGCCTCCTGTATTGTCGCCGCCACCTGAATTGTCCTGTGTGCTTGTCTCATATCCGGAGCCACTAAGCTCGATGATGATTGTTCCAGTGCAGGTCCTTTGAAGATGATCTGTAACAAGGTTACAGTGGAACAGCCGTCTGTACACAGCCTAGTCATCGTCAGAAACACAGAGCCCTTTTCTTTTCCCACCTCAGCTTGTTTCTGTCTTTAGTCCCATCCACTCAGTAACTTCCCTCAGTCGGTGTGCTGTCATGCTTGCGTGGCTGTATGAGGCTGGGGGATAGCCTCAAGTGTGGATCCACCAGGGTTACCTACTTCTTGTTTGATTGTATAGGGGTCCTTAGCAGCCTGAAACTCTTGCAGTAAGGCTAGGCTGACTGGCCAGCAAAAGACTCAGCCCGAGGGTCACCTCCCCATTGCCACTGAGATTACAAGTGGTGACAGACATGCCCAGCTTTTTGTACAGGTTCTGGAGACTTCACCAACTGATCTGTCTCCTTTGTCCTTCTACTCAGATTTTAAACCAGTCGATGACTGTATTATTTTAACTAACTTAGTCATTATTACCAGTGATATTGTTTACTGGCTAGTTTATAGTGTTGTTAGTTAGATATTACATCTAAACTGAATAATGTAAAAACACAAGCAGATGTGAGTCGAAACCCATAGCGTCAGTACATCAGGATAACTTTGTAGATGCTGTCATGATCAGTTGTCCTTATGATAAATCTCAAGTTGCTTATTTAAGTGCATTGCTTGACCTTGTGTTCCATCTTACTTTGAATGGGATTTGAAGGTTGTTTTTTAAACTTTAAGCTGCACACACTCTTTCATGTTTAAGTACTCATTTGATTAACATAATTTCTGATGGGTACATAATTTTGTATCAAATGGACGACAGTTTTTTTCCTCAGATACCTGTGCATATTGCTTTCAATATCTCCTTGGGGAGACAGGGCTGTCAGCATCTCCGTGCAATCAGCCTTCTATATTTAGCTCTTCCCCAAAGATTACTGGAAATGGGATCATCAGAGAGGAATCAGGACATGAGTTGAGCTTGGGTTGTGCTATTGCAAGGCACTGATATGAGTCTTACTTTCACTGACAGAGTCCCAGAGCCTGGCACAAAAGTCGAAATGTATTCAGTTAAGACTCAGTCTATACTTTCTGAAGAAAAGAATTAAATCTCTGGAGATGTGCAGCAGGCATAGTTCTAAGGCCACTTATCTGACCTTAAAGGCTATCCCACGCATTCTATGACATTCATGCTATTGTTATACGATTTGCTATTTTTATCATTATCGGCATATATTGTTATTGAGCCATTTTATAGATATCTGGGTGCAGATGGGTGAGATGGCTTATATAAGATGTAGGAATCAGTAGATGATAAGACATGACAGCCACCCAGTCTCACCTCAGACTTCAGTCTTACCCTCATGCTAGTGACAATTTGAACACACATTGCTCAACATGACAACTTTTATTTAAAAGGGGATTTCTTTAAAATAGAATAGTAATTTTTAAATCATACGAGAATATTTAAGCTTGGTTTACCCTGGAAGGAAGTTAAATTGATTTCTTACCATCTATTGACAATATTGTTCCCTCGTATCTTCCATTAAGCATGTCGTATTGTTCCTTAGTAACTCTGTTTCTTAAAGTTATTATGCCTGATCTTGAGCCAATATCCAGCAGGTTGGCTGGGTTATTTCCCATTACATATCTGTAGTCAAAAGAATACAATAAAAGTTAAAGCTACCTTTTAAAAAGAAATTTTGTAAAATTAATTTTTAAGGTTAGTATAAAATAATAGGTTTATTGATTGTGTCTTTTCATAAGTGAGTGTCACATACTTGGTTCTCCTTCATCCTTCTTTCTGCTCCCACCTCTCACCCTGCCATCCTCTGACAGTTCCCCTTCCTTCTCCCAGCAGCTCTTGCTTTCATATCACATGCAGTCTGTTGCCCACCCCTTCCCCGCTCCCTTAAGGTTGCTTCTTCCCTTCTCACGATCCCCTAAGATTATAACTTTTAGCTGGAAAACACCAGCTTACCTAACATTTGTTGAGATTTGGTTCGTGTCCAGGTCGGTAGCTACAAACTCTCCCACCTTGTAGTTTGCGCCCATCTGGCTGTTTATTACAAATGTCTTTGAGCCTGGCCGGAACACGGAGCCTTCCACTACGTTCCTCACAGCTACAGTGATCATAGTCGCTGTGATTCTGTACTGAGAAATGATGGACTGGTGGAACTCAGCGACGTTTCGAACACCAATACTAAGTTGCAGATTCTGCATGGCTTCATAATCTAGTGGCTAGAAAACACAAGAAGAGTTAGTTCTCCTGTGAAAATTCCCTTCAGAGAACAGAGATACCCTTTGAGACTAGACTAGTCAAAGTAATTTATGGTGCTCGTCTTTCGGTTATAAAATTGAACATAAATCCATTTGATGTACCTAGTCTACTTTTATTTGGTGGGTATTTAGTTCAAGATAGACACATGCAAATGTAGTAAGGGAAAAATCGAGTTGTCTTGAATCTTTTGTTGAAAAGATTAAAAGCACAGGACATGAATCCTAGTCGCTCAAAAAAGCAGTTAAATACTTAAATTCAACATATGATTCAATTCATGCATTTGTCGTACAAAGGCCATCTATGTTAGCTGACAGCATTGCATGTTTCCGAGAAAGTAGCTCTTTTTATAATAAAATATGAGTCAAATATATCAGAAAACTGATCATTTAACTAGTTTTATCCTGGTAGAGTTATTTTTAAAAATTGACTTCAATGTGACTTTTTAAATGTCAATGTATATACACATACATATATGTATGTGTGGGTATATATATATATATACCCACATATATATATGAAGAAATATTTATTTTCTTCAGTATGTTCTAAAAATTATTTCATACTGTAAAATAATCAAGCAATAAGTTTCTTATGGAAATTGATACCCAAATCCACAATTCATAAAATTTGCCAAATACCTGATGTGTTCCCCATATACCAAATATATTTTTTCTGAATGTTTATTGTTATTTTAAATAAAAATATTCATAAACTGAGCTCTTCTATTCATCTAGAATTTTATGTGAAATAATTAGTTTTATTTACAACTTAAAATACCAATTAAAGCACATATGTGTGTTCAGCAAGAATGCATATATATATACACACCATAATTATATTACCTCTCTATAATTATAATAAAGGATTTAAAATATACTATCATATTTGGGAGAACTATTCTAGTTTTAACATAGAGCTATTAAGAACAAATAAGGTAAATAATTTTTAGAGTAATATAAAATTGAAGTGAAATAGATTAAAGATTATTTCCCTAGTATCCAGTCCTAGATAATATCTCTATACTCATGTGCACACACCCCAAAGAGATATAGGGACACACACATGCAATTAAAAATGATAAAAATAAATCTTTAAATAAATACAAATAAAACCTTAAATTTAAAGGTTAATCATAATTGGTTGTTTGAAAACCCATTGTTTACAAATTATCCCGATGTCGGTGAAAGTTATGGAACCTTCCTTAGACTTGTGCGTAAACATACTAATTCCCACTTAAGGGTATAACTTCAGAACATCTCTTCATGATCCCAGAATCCCCTATAATTGTGGAGGGCCATAAAAATCCCCAAAATCCCAGCACTGAGGAGAAGTGGACACAAAGAAGCTATTTATAACTGATACCAGCTTGGAAAGCGAAAACAGTTTTCTCCAGCGGACTGAGGCTAGACACATCAGCTACACACAAGGACAGGGCCCATGTCCGGGACTAGCTGCTCACCACAAAGCAGACATCTATTTTTGTGTGTGTATGTGAATCTTTGGAGGACTGTATTGAAAAAAAGGGGTTCAGATTTTTAATGATTATTTTCCTGAAGCAATATAAGCACATACATTCATATTAAAGATATTTGTATTTTATATAATTTTAAAGCACAGCAAATTTATCATTTCATAGACTCATTAATAAAACATTGATATCACTTTAACTTTGATATTTTGAAAAAGAAAAGACCACAAAGCAAGTTATTTAGAATAATTATGCCATACCTTGACAACCTTCAGAATGCCTACATTTGTTCTTTCATTCATTTCTATTTCAAACCAATTTCCCTCATTTCCGGAGATGAAGAAAATGACCGCCTTCCAGTTGTCTGAGAACTCCTCGTCCAGATCAATGACTCTGATCTGCGCCAGCTGCGAGTGCAGTGCGTTTTCTTCAATTTCGATGTTATACTGAAACAAGAGGCAGATATCCGAAATATCAGAACGCCAAAAGCAGGGGAGAGAACCCGTACCAGGCTGTCCACAGCTTGCTGTCTATTCATAAGCAGCAACCTCGCTTATAAGTGCACACTTCATCGCCCAAACCCGCTTTCCTACTGTAGAAACAATCTAAGGAAAGCGTGTGTCTACACCGGTGCTGTAGACAGCAAATGTAGCGAGCACACCTGAAAACTGAAGGGGCGCCTATAGGAACTGGAATGCCATGAATGTAGAGTCATTAAACCTAGTTCCCAAGAGCAAATGCTTACAGATGACTGCTCCAAGTATGGGATGTTGTCATTGACGTCCAGGATTTTGATGACGCACTCACATTCTGCAGACATGCCGTCTGCCCCACCATCACGGTCGGAGCCTCTCACCGCAAGCGAATACTGGCTGTATTGCTGAAAAAGACACGTTACAGGCGATGGCACACTAGGCATGGACAGGCTGTCCTATGCAGAGGTCTTCTAAAACACTGGCTCAACATTTACATACGTCCACGATGGAAGACAAGGTAACAGAGATGAAACTAGAGACCTCACATCACTCAGGACTGTATTGGTCCCTTCCATTTCCAGTGAGTTATCCAGCATAATCTCAAAGGAGCAATAGTTTTGTTAAAGATTTCATTTCTTGCTCATGGAATGTCCAGAGGAAGGAGAAGGTTCTAAAGGGTGAGACAGGCCAGAATGTTCAAAACAAGAAAGATATGATCCATCAAGGATACATGTTATGAAAATTCCGCACTATGAACAAAAATTCACTGAGAGCTCAAGGTAAATAAAGAGTATCTAGTGGCAGGTGGAGAAGGGGGGAAATGAAGTCGCTGATGATGTTTCTATTTTTGGTTCTATTCAGAAGTGCGTCTACACTTAGAAGTCGGTGAAAGTTATGGAACCTTCCTTTGACTTGTGTGTAAACTTACTAATTCCCACTTAGGGGTATAACTTCAGAACATCTCTTCATGATCCCAGAATCCCCTATAATTGTGGAGGGCCATAAAAATCCCCAAAATCCCAGCACTGAGGAGAAGTGGACACAGAGAAGCTATTTATAACTGATACCAGCTTGGAAAGCGAAAACAGTTTTCTACTTGGACTGACGCTAGACACATCAGCTACACACAAGGACAGGGCCCATGTCCAGGACTAGCTGCTCACCACAAAACAGACACCCATTTTTGTGTGTGTATGTGAATCTTTTATTTTGATACTTTTGCCTTATTATTTTGTTTGAATTTGCTCTGATCTTTGTTTTCTTTTGAGAGAGAGAAAGAATAAAATTGGGAGGGTAGGGAGGTAAGGAATCTAGGAAGATTTGGAAGAGGGAAAAGAATATAGTAAAAATATATTATGCACAAAACATTTAAATTAAAAATTTGATATAAAAGTAGGACTAGTGAGAGGGCTCAGCAGACAAACATAGTTCCTACAGCGCCTGACAGCTTGAGAGTCATCCCGTATGCTTGAAGGAGAGACACAGCCCTTACAAGTTGTCCTCCTATCCTCACAAGCATGCCACTGTTGGACATGACCACGTTCCCCCCAAATAAAGAAATAAATATAATACAAATATGCAGTAATTGAACACATTCTTTTAGCTTTTTTCTTTAAGTACTTTTACCTTTATAACCATGACCTTTTGAATAAAAATCTTTTAAAGATGAAGAATTACCTCTCTGTCTAGAAAATTATTCATTGTTCGTATTTCTCCAGTTTTTCTGTTGATGATGAACATTGGTGACTCTGAAGGTTCCTGTCTTATGATCTTGAAAGCTATCTGTGAGTTCAAGTTATTTGGCTCATCTGCATCGGTAGCGTCGAGTTTCATGACCAACGTGTCTAGAAATCAAGGGCAATTGCCACGTTTGGACAATGAACATTATTATGGTCCAATATGTTATCTGTGATTATGCAGTGTGCATTCAACTTCCTTTGAATTGTACAACATCAACATACCAATATATTAACTCCTTTCGTTCCTTTTGTCCTGATAAAAAGACCATATTTGAATAGGAACCTAGACATTATTGAAGGGAAATTGAGTCTTTTATTCTGACTCTATTTTTTTATTCTAATATAACTTCATTGAAACAAAATGCTTATGGTGAAGTAAAGTAACATTAAAACTCAGTTAATGCTTTCCCAACTGTGCTATGAGACCTTATTTCTACTGTGTGATTCCATCCTTACTTCCCGTAGTTATAAATGAGAATTGTAGTAACACCACACTCGTGAGAATTCAATAGCAAATGAAAATACTGACTGATGCGTCTACTGAGTAATGCACTTTTGATGAATATTATTGTCCATTTTGGGCATTTAATAAGTGGCATTGTTGTTTAGGTTGGAATTGACTCTTGTGTAGGTGCTGTGTATCTAGGAGCTTACATGAAATAATTGTTTAATCACATACACAGCCCTGTCCTTGCCTTCTTTCTTAATCTAGTAAAGAGTTCGATAAATGATATTAGTGGGCATAAAAAACTGCAAGCATTCATTTATTAATTGGAATTCTGCTCCACTTTCTAAATTGTTTCCAAAATAATTGCTAAAATTCTAGGACATCCATCCCTTCCCTTTTCTCCTCTTTCCCCCCCTCACCTCTCCCTTAGAGATCCACACCACTTGAATAATCTTCAATGGTGTGCAAATGGCCAATATCCATTGCAGTCAGCTAGAAATAATTTAAAACCCACGGAGGCATGTATGTGAGTTATATGCAAACAAGACATCATTTGTAAAAGGATGCGAACTTCATAGATCTCTTTATGTTTAGGGTTCCTGGAGCCAAACCCAATAGATAAGAAATGAAGACTGCATTCATTGTAGCTTAAACGGGAAGGGGAAAGATTTATTTCTTAGCCTTTATTTGTTGTTAATTAATAAATGTTCTTAGCATCACAAGAGACGACTTGGAGCAGATGTCTTCGAGTGACACTAAGATAATAAACTTCTTTCTCTTTCCATTACTCACTGCTCCCCAGTCTCTGCTGGCCACTCTTCCCTTCATCCTTCTGCAAGGGTGCTTTGGAAATGAGTGAGAACACATGATACTTGTCTTTCTGTGCCTGGCTTGGCTTTTGTAAAAACAATGGCCATTAAAAAGCTCAGTGGGGTGACCAAAGTTACAATGTATCAGCTCTTTGGGGTTGTTCTTCTTCAGTCGAATAGGGTAATCAATCATTCATATCAGAATGATTACGAAAGATGAATATGGAATTCTTCTGTGCTTACTGGTTATAGACACAGAAATCTCTTGATTGTTATTTGATTATTACGCATTGTATTGAATAATGGACTCCCAGAAAGAGGTACACTTCTTATGTCTGAGTAAACAACAACTTTGAAGTAAGGGTGATGACCACATGTGAGTGGAATTGCTATCTACAGCTTCTCTCCCAGTTCATGTTTACCTGGACACAGCTCAGCCCAGTTGCCTAGCAACAGTAACTTAGTCATCGACACATTGTTTCTTTAGTAGTGCAGGTGACTCACTTGCATTAGAATTTTCTTCTATTTGTCCTGTAAATGTAGTCATGGAAAACACGGGAGGGTTGTCGTTTATATCCATAACCCTGACTCTGAGCTCCAGTGGGTTCTCCAAATCTTGGCCTTGGGCATTCAGTGCTCGGCAGTAGATCTAGTCATGGAAGAAATATCTCTGGTGAGGTATTACATTTGTAAGTTCTTACAGAATGAAGGTACTACCCTGGTACCACAGAAGATTAAGGGGCACCATATTATTATTTCCCACTAAAATATAGACATGAGCAAAACATATAACGAATAAGAAAAGGCAAAGAAAAGCATAAGGTGCCCGTTTAAAAAGGTAACTTGATATGTTGGGCAGAGGAAATACTGCGGATTCTCTGTTTAAAATCAAGAAAAAAGAGTAGCAGGGAAAGGGCTCTGGAGAGTGTGGTCAGGGAGGGTCAGGGGAGCGCTTCCAAAGCACTGTGGCATTCTCAAGTGATGGGGTAACCATGTGGCTTCTTATTCATCATTACTACTTCCCTTGTGAAGATGTGTAACGTGCATTACAGAGGCCATCTGTTCTGTGGAACAACACGTTGTGCCTTAACGTGGACTGCTTTACTGATTAGCTGGATTTGTAGGGAGACACAGTGGCGGGAAGAAGTCAAGAATACATGTTTGGATGTGGAGGCTGAGGAATTAAAGTGATTCTAGAAATGCAGATGAGCAGTGTGAATAAAAACGGCAAGGACTGAAGGATATTTGGAGGTAGTTTGGAATATTAGTTTTTTTTCAGGGCTGGGAAATGAACCCAGGTTTTCACCAACAATAAGCAAATGCTTGGTACTGAGGCTACTTACGTTGCATTCTCAAACCTTTAATGGGATTTTAATACAAGAGATTAACATCATTGAAAAGATTGTTTTTATATTATTATTATTATTGTTGTTGTTGTTTGTTGCTGTTGTTTTTGAGACAGGGTTTCTCTGTGTAGTTCTGGTTGACCTGGAACTGGCATTGTAGACCAGGCTGGCTTCCAACTTACAAAGCTCTGCCGGATTCCATGTCCCAGGTGCTGGGATTAAAGGCATACATCACCAATGCCCCGCTTATTTTATTTTGTTTTTTGATTAAGAAGTGTTAACCATGATGACAAATGGAAATGGTGGCAGCCAATGGCTAAGAAGAACACAAGGGAAAAAGAAGCTGATAGGATAAGGCTCTTCAAGACATCATGGAGAAAGAGCCAGGAGAACAGACTGCTGATCGTGTTTTCAAACTCAGCGACGAATGTGTCTCAGCAGAAGACAGAGGGCTATGTGTGTGTATGGGAGGTGTAGCAATAGGTGGCTTGGTTTTGGGGTGAGCTGCTTAAAGAGAAATGAGGCGGAGTCCTCGAAGAGAGGCTGCGTAAGCTATGTGACAACTTCTACAAGAAATGTGTGTGAGAGAGAGATTGAGGATGAGCGAGTTTCCAAAGTTTCTTTAGAGCTAAGATGATCTTGACCAGCGTAGACTTATGATCGTTTATGTTCATATGGAACCCAGAGCCTCGAGAAGCTCCAGGCTCGTAACTTGGCAGTAGAGTGAAAAGGAAGAATTAATTTCCACTGATTTTTTGTTTTAAGATAGAGTAAAAGTTTGCCCTTCTAGACAAATACTCTAATTTGTCATGGAGCTGATGTTAACTGGCATTTTTGGGAACATATAAGGGAAAAGTTTCTGTATTAATTTTTTCTCATCTTATTGGGGTACCTGTGAATTAAGAAAGATCTCAGAAAGCCTGATTTGAGGACTCTTGAAATCAAGTTTGGTATGGTCTAAGATTTTTCCAAGAATAATTTACACCCACATACAAATATCAAGACAAAGTCCACTTACAATGAAAAAAGGGGTGACTTCACGATCAACGATGGATGTTATATTGATTTCACCGGTTTTTTGATTAATAACAAAAATTCCATAAGGTGGCTGGTCAATCCCGACTCCAGAGATGCGGTATGTCACTTGCTGGTTTGCGGCACAGTCAGAATGAATCTGTACAGAGACACAGGTTAAGACATTACAGCGGCCATGTGGACTTCTACATGTGCTATATGACAACCGTTTTTTCCTGAGAACTGTTAAATGTGCTGTCTGTGACATCACTTGAGTTTTGAAAACAGGGAAATATACTTGTGGTAGGTCCATGGTCAGTGTTGTAGTATTAATGGCAATTAGCAACGGAATAAAATAATTTCATTTCTATGTCTTTTTTTTAATTTTCGTTTTTGTTTTTTCCAGATAGGGTTTCTTTGTGTAACAGTCCTGGCTGTCCTTGAACTCATAGAGATCTGTCTGTCTCTGCCTCAAGAAACAAGTATCACCCTAAGAAGTCTTTATAGGTGTCATGCATAGGCGCCATAATCATTAAGCATTTATAGCTTTGCTTTTGTATTAATTTTGAACTCTATGCTAACTCTTTGTCTACAGTAGGCTATTTCTTACCTTCTTAGAGAGTTTTATAATGCTGTTATCACATAATGTTGATCTTTAAATTAAAGAACTACTTTAAAAAAACACAAAGATTCAGAAAAAATATTTAAACAGATTTTTATAGTAACAAATTATTTGAAGGTTTTAATTCTGAAACCAGTAAAGAAAAGGAAAGAGCCCACTGCAAAAAAGGATCAAAGTCTGGCTTTGGTCCAAATAAATATTGTATGAGCACAAGCAAATCTTACAAAGGCGTTGCCACATCTCTCTGTATGAGTGGTTGTGCTAGCATCTGTGCGTCTATATGTCTATGGCTCTGAATCTGTGTGCATGGAGGAAGTAGTTTCCTGAGTTTGTGCTTTTGTGTACAAAGAAAGGGTGCAGGGAAATGATAGAAATTTGAGATTATGAATGAGGCATACTTTGAAGGCTTACAGACAAGTAGGGGTTAAGCTCTAATAGGTTACAAAGTAGAGAGCGCCCACACACTGAGCAAGGTGAATTCTAAACCCGTCTGTAAACTATGGTCTTATGGGAGTCTAGTGTAACAAGTACTCATGAGCATCACTTCTGTCAATGAGAAGAAACAGTGTCTGTTTACCCAAATGCCCAACTTCAGTGGTTTAAACCTTTAGGAATTTCAGTTTTCATAGTTTAAATGGGGAGGAGCTGTTAGGTCATGTGTGTGCACAAAGCGTATAAAATCTGACCCTTCCAGAACTGTGACCCTATCCACTGGGCTGTTTGGATTCATGCTTTGGGGTTCACACTTACTTTGGCAATCGGGTTTCTCTTTGAGTTGTCTTCACCTTCCCGACAAGCTGCGGCGAACTTGATCCATTCACGTTTCTGTCTTTTGATGGTATACCACTTGGTCCCATTTTTGACATTATAGTCTCTTGCCTTGAATAGACAGAGTAAAATAAAGTGTCTATTAACAATTACTTATTTTTGATATTCCACTGGAGATTTGGGAGAAAGAGTAATCATGTCAGGAAGAGAAGATGGTTAAATGGAAAATTAAGAATTCTGATGATTTTAGCATTTGCAATAGTAACATTGCAATAATTTTATATGTAGAAGAATGCGGTTTTTCTTGAGTATAAGTTGTTATTGCTAATCTGTCTTTCCCTTTGGTCTGCTCTCTCTCTCCCTCTATCCCTTGCCCCCCTTTCCTCTTTCTTGATTTTATTTTGTACTGTGTGTTTATTATACGATTTTGAGACAGGATTTCTTTATGTATCTCAGGTTGGCTTCTAATCCACAATCTTCAAGCCTCAGCCTTGGGAATTTGGGAATTAGACACAAGCACTAATATACCTGGCCCTTTTATTTTTTAGTTTGAAAAAAAATAGATTTGTTTTTCCTTACCTGGATTTGAAATTCACTGTTAACTTCAAGCACCACCTGCAAAAAGCAGTCACAATAGTTTATTTTTAATGAATGTGTTCAATTCTAGGTTAACTTATAACTTAAAACACATAACAATAAAACCAAATGATGCATGTGTGAGCTAAGTTTAATGGCAGTAGATGCTCCTTAGCTGTTTTATTCCTGACTGGGGAACTTCTCTCTGCACTAAAGCATGTACTATTGAACAGAGTTCTGCTGAAATTTCAACTTTTGAGTGTTGCACAGAACTTATGCTGAAGTATCAGGATATATTACATTGTTTTTAATCTAAAAATTGCAGTAATTTCTTAAAACACCAATATTCACATATCAAAGTAATGTGTCTGCATACTTGTTTAAGACCTGGAAAATGTATATTTAAAAGTTGAATTTTTTGCATTTAATTGTTTTAAATTGCATTGAGTATCATTTAATACCAGTGTACACCTTTAAACTTTGTAAATATTTTTTCACATAAGAGGTAGGGAACTTCTAATAGAGTTTTTTCATAACAGCAAAGCCTGAAACCCATGCACATGATCAGATGTTAGCACTGGTATTAAAAGCTACAGTGTGCATTAAAAATATGAATATTAATAATTTTAAACATGATGATTAGTTTCTCACATCTGGTTTTAGTTTCATCCTTAAGGAATATATAAATTTCAGTTTCCAAGAAGAAGTTTTGAAAACAAGGTCAAAACAAAAAAGTTAAACAAGCAAACGTATATTTATGGTCAACGTGAGCAGCATGAGGAGAATTTTTACCAATGATGCTGTGCCAGTCACTTCAGTTATTACTGTTGCCATTAAGTTGATGATCACTAAGTGCAAGGCAGTGTGGCCAGAGAACTCTATCTATTTTCATCCCAAACCCAGTAATGGCCATTATTATTAGTTCCTTTATACAGAAGAGGTAACTGAGGCCTGGCAAGTAACTTATGCCAAAATGCAATCCCATACAGTTCAGTCTAAATACGTGTTTATTTTACAGTCAATTATAAGATAGTCTTGTTTTCTCAAATAAATTATTAAGTAAAACGTTACCAAGAATTGATATTATATCAATTGATACTATATTGAAATTGAGAATTTCAAAGTTACTGTTTTGGTCTGGCCTCACAGTATTCTTATTAATTCCTTTTTTGTTGTTTTTGCTCTGTGTGTGTATATTTGTGTCTGTGCGTGTGCATGTTTGTGTGTGTGCGTGCATGTGCAGGTGTGGTATTGTGTGTGCATGTGTGAGTGTGTGAGTATTTGTGCGAGACTGTGCTTGTATGTGTGTGTGTGCGTGTGCGCACATGTGTGTGCGAATGTGTGTGCGTGTGTGAGTGTGTTTGTGTGTATATTTGTGTGTGTATGTGTGTGTATTGCGTGTGTGTATGTTTGTGTGTGTATGTGTGTGTGTATGTGTGTGTGTGTGTATGTGCGTGTGTGTATGTGTGTGTGTGTATGTGTGAGTGTGTCTGTTGTTGAGCACATGTGTTTTCAGGTGAAGGCCTGTGCACATGTGCAGAGCAGAGAGAACGACAATGAGTGTTCTGATCCTAATACTCTCAATCTTATTCTCTTGAATCAAGGCCTCTCAGTGAACCCAGAGAGAGGCTGGTGGCCATCCAGCACCAGCAATCCTGCTGTCCCCACCCCCACAGCAGTAGGGTCACAGGCATTTGTGGCCATGCCAGCTTTTCATGTAGATGCCGGGACCTCAGATCCTCACGGGTGAGTAGCAGCGCTACTCTCAGGCCCCGGGCCATCTCCCCAGCCTCACGGGTGCTGCTCATCTAGAAAGAGCAGCTGCAGCAACAACAGTGATACACGGCCACAAAGGAGTCCAGGCAGCTTAATGGTTAGGGTGTCCAGCTGCGGTGTTTTCTATGGAGCCGAGCGTGGCTACAGAACTCCCCTATTCCACAGAGTGCTCGCTGCTGTGGGATTTGGGGTCCTTTTCTCGAGCTCTTGCTTGTGGGTGGGGCAGGGCTGCAGGGCTGCCTTATCGCTGCCTCTCTAGGGAAGGGAAGGCCTTTCTTCACAGCTGCAGCTCCTGTTCTCTTGTTTACTCGTCTGCTGCCTGGTATTGCGCGCCCCTTCCCGGAGTGAAGCGCTGGTGCCTACTGCTTTGGGTAACTGGCCAGATGACTAAGAACTCTTCACAACTTTATGAAGCCAGGTCATCCTCTTTCCCATGAGAAGCAGCTTAGGCAAAAGACCAAGTAGGTTTCACCACAGTGTCAGACTCACAATTGGATGGGTAATTAAAAAACCGCCTAGTCTGCTTTTTAAATGTGGTGGGTTGATGAGAGCTGTTTTTTTTTTTTTGTCAGAGCGTGGAATAAATTCAGATACAAAGTATCAGGTTTTTACAGACAAAACAATGACATGGAAAAATAAAAATTATTGGGTAGTCAGAAAAGGATATATATAATGATTCTTCGAGCTTTGTCTCATTTGAGATGTGTGTGGACAGACCGCACACAAATACTTTTTTCAGGTATAACACCAAATCCTTGTGTGCCGTAGAAGGATACTGAAGAATTTTGGTCATGGGAAGGGCATGCTGAAATTACAGGTTAGAAAGATTACTTGGACAATAATCTGTAGGGGCAATGGGAAGACTTAAAAATTACAGGCTGAAGGCTGTTGGGTCTTCTGCACCAATCAAAGCAGAGGTGAGGAAGAGCTAAGTAGATGCAGAGGCAGTGAAAACCACAGGGAAAGATCAAGGGGGAGATTCTGGAAAGACAGGATCCACAAGGTGAGGGAACAGATGGGATGAGAGATAAAGAGAAGGAGTGATCCCCAGAGCTAGCAGTACAAAAGAGGCCAGAGGTAGGACAATGTTTGAGGTGCTGGAGGAACGCCACCATTGAGGAAAAACCTAGCTTGGCTATATGTCCAGGTGCATCTTCTCTGGTAGAGCTGTTGAAATCATGGGAGAATTAGATGCCTGTAAAGCGCAGGATGCAGCTAAGAAACAGCCCGTGGGTGCAGGTGACACAAGGAACTCCTGCCTTTGTTTAACTGGGAATCAGTGGAAAGTAGGGGTGTGGAGAGGTGGGGCGTGGCCTGGTGGTGGTGGTTTTGAAAGATAAAGAAGGAGGGAGAGAGGGAGAGAGATACAGAGAGAAAGAGAGGAAGGAAGAGAGGACAGGAAGAAGGCAGAGAGGAAGAGGGAAAGGAAGAAAGGCAGGAACGAAAGTGTGTCGTACGGATCGGAGGAAGTAAAATGATGCACAGACGGACCAGAAGGGGCACTGAAAGACCGATGCGACGTGAATGTTCCCTGATCTTAAAACACTGAACGACGTGAAATTTGAGGAAATCCCAGGGTGTCAAGTCCCTTCAGAGAACATTTTCAGCTAGATAAGGCAAAGACTGGACCTACCAAAAGAGAACACGGGCTGGGGAGGAAAGGAAGACATACAGTTTCTTTCCTAGGAATTTTGTTGATGAAAAAGAAGAGAAAGACAAAGTGAGTTTTAGGTGTGGGAATTAGTGAAAATTTTCTGTCCAAGCCCTGGCACAGGCATGGCTTTTGTGTGTGTGATGATGGAGTAAATTGGGCTGAGAAACAACCTGGATTTTGTGCAGTGTTCACAGCAATGGCGATTCCCCCTAGAGACAGGGCTTATCACGGTGTTTAAAAAGACCCTGATCTCTTGCCCACTGGAAACTTAATCTGTCTGTGCCACAGTATAGTCACAAACATTGAAAATAAATTCTCTTGGAGCCCAAAAGTTTTGTAGCAACAGTAAATAAAACTCATCTCAATGAGCTTTTCCAGTCACGCCGGCTCCATAACCAATCAAAATATGTTTATTTAAAAGGCATAGGATGTACATTCTTGACACTTTTAATGATTATCCAGCTAAAGTGAATTTCAACAAGTCTGTTGAAGTTAAAATTTGTCTTTTTCATATCCTAAATTTTGACTGGAAGGGTAATTTTTATGAGGAAAATTTAATATAATATTTATATTTTTATAATATATATTTTATATTTTATAATATGTATATTTTATAATATATGTAATATACAGATAAATATTATAATATTTAATAATAGTGAGATAGTGTCAATTTGTGAACAAAATGTTAACTATTAGGTATATCACAGGGATAAGCTACAAAAAACACATAAAATAGAATTTGTTTCTTTACAAAAAATAAACAAAACAAGAACAAAAAACCCTGTTTTGTCTTTCTTTTGGATTTCTCTGACAAAGGATATGATGTTTGGAATGGCCATAACTCAATGGGTTGATTTCTCATATTTATTCATGAGTTGCTCATTTCTTTGACAAATGTGTGTTACAAATTCTGAGACATCATGATGGCATTAAAGGAGAGGTTCTCAACCTACTGGTTATAACCCCTTGGGGTTGAATGACCCTTGAAATAGTCTGTGAACAGAGTTCACATATCCGATATCCTGCATATAAGATATTTACATTATTACTCCTAACAGTAGCAAAATTACAGTTATGAAGTATCAGTGGAATGGTTTTAAGGTTGGGGGTCACAACAGCAGGAGGGGCTGCGTTAAAGGGACGTGACATTAGGAAGAATGAGATCCTGAAAGTTCTGGTGAGCTTAGAATGAAGTGTCAAGTGGGTGCAACACTATGCCTCAAACCATTAGTGAAAGGCAACGTGGTTATTGCCACACTGATTACCTGGAGAGGATAAATTTTCAAATGTGTATGGGAAAAGGATTTCGAGCTATCCCCCATTTCCCTTTTGGTGTTCCTGTTCTGTGCAGTGAGACACTGTGGATCAGCCTTGCGTTGAGTCTTTTGGTTGAGAGAACCGTGAATGATACAAAGGTTCGTCAGACATGGAATTTGTTTTCAAATGGCTTAGAGTCAAAGAGTTGCTTAAGCAGCAATCAGCTGTTAATTTGTAGGGATGTGATTCTAATTAGACAAGTCTAAAAGACTGTACTCCATGCTCGTAGAGCAATTAAGAGCCTGGATCGCCAGTCATTGGCATGAAAACAGTTGGACCTGTCTAGGTCCATTACAAGAGTTTACACGCCAAACATAACTAGTATGGGCAGCATGACCCAGCATCCTGGAGGGTGTTAACTCAGCTGAAGGAGCAGAAGAAATCCAACCACAATGCCCAGAAGATCAAGCTTCTGCTTGTACATTGGACAATGTCTCTTGTGACACCTGGATGTTCGTCACAGAGTCCTTGTTGACTGCAGAGTAGAGAAACATCAGAAAGTAAGAGATGCACGCAGGGATCCAAGTGTCCTTTGTCTGCATTCTCCTGCTTTTTCCAAGATACGCGTCTTGATTCATCCCCACAGCATGCACGTTTCTTCTCTTGTCACCGAACGGCCGTCTTTCACACTGTGACGGCCGACTTCAGTGGCGATGGGTGTGGCTCCCCACTTTTGCAAAGTTGGAGGACAATTTTACTCCTCAATTTTCAGTGAATAAAGAAAACTTTCACACATACCACATCTGTAGAGACAACCCTGATTAACTTCAGTTTCTCTCACTAACCAGAGGAATAAACACTGATTTCATTCTCTATAAAATATTGGGCTCAAATGTTATCCTCTGCAATACATAGCAATTTAATATATGTATAGAAAAACATCAAAGTCTCTCATGAATTGTCTTCTGTTTGGTCTATACTAGCTGTTTACTACTTTTTTAGTGTCAATGAACTTTAGTACTTTCTTTTTTGGTGTCAGTGAACATAAATTAAATAACTTGCATTATCAGGTTCAAATAAGTTCATTAACTAAGCCATAAATGAGTACCATTTTAACCCCTGCATGTATTCTTAAAAAGTTTAACAAAGCTCAAATTGTAGGGTTAGTTTATTGGGTGTTAGTTAATTGAATGAAATAGTAATCCCATAAAATTCTCATAAAAAGAGTAGACCAGAGCCTGGTCTAGTGGTGCATGCCTATAACCCAAGCATTTAGGAGGTTGAGACAGGGAGACATGGAACTTAAGACCAACTTGGGCTACATAGTGAATATGGAGCTAGCCTGAATTGCAGAGTAAGATTCTGAATCAAAAATTTGAAATCAATCAAAATTCAAAGCTATGATTAGCATTATTTTTGTTAAGAGATAAAGGAGATTTTCTCTGTTCTTTTGAGCTCAATCTGCTTCTGTTACCTCTATAGAAAAGGATGCCTTTGGATTTGTATTCAGGTTTAGCAGAGTAATCAGATGTGGCAAATTTGCAGGTGATTTTTCCCACAATCACTGGAGTTCTCAGATCTTACTGTCCTCCTTCTCAAGAAGGCTGTGCGTTCCCTTTCTTAAGCGTCACAACCATCTGCACAGATTTTATTTCTGTTTGGTGCATAGGTATAACAGTGTTCTCTGTCAGGAAAGGATTATAACTACTCCCTCTAGGTAGACAGACAGAGAGACAGAGAGATAAATAGATAAATAGAGAGATACATGCATATATAAATACATACATACACACATACAGCTAAATGCATACATACATACATGAATGATAGATGGATGGATATACAGACAGATGGACAGATTGACAGATAGCTAGCTAGATAGATAGATACATACATTCATACATACATACACAGACAGATAGATAGATACATACATACATATATACATGGATGGATGGATAGATAGATAGTAGACAGATAGATAGATAGATAGACAGACAGACAGACAGATAGATAGATAGATGAAGGAAGAGGATGATGAGGAAGGGGTGGAGAAGGAAGAGGAGGGAGAAAATCAACCCATGCCTTCAGCTTGTAGTACTGTAGCAGATGTGAGCTACCATCTATCCAGGAGACATCTGAATTGGTAGAAAACTCACATAGCAGCCTTGTTCCCTTTAGGAACAGCTTCTCTGCTTTAGTCTCTCTGGTCTAACTTACTAATTTGGGCAAGGATTAAAGCATCTACTTCCACATGTGCTGAGCAAGTCATGCAATATACCACACATAGTTGCCAAGTTCTCTAAGTAGCTTTATATGAAAAGACTATCAATTTAAACATCTTAAATATATTTGTATTTTTCTAAATGTATTTTTAACATCTAACATGGATTTTAATTTATTTACTTTGAGCAGCAAAGAATACAAAGACCTTTTTTTCACCTTTTCCTTTGGTAAATCAAACACTCAATGAGGCTAGGAACAGAAGGCTGGAATTGCAAAATCATCTTCTAAAATTAGTAGTGAAAACAGGACCTTCAAAGCATTCAAAAATGAAACATTTTACGAAAAAATATTCTATTAACCTGAAAATAAAGCGTTCTAATTAATTATAGTAAAAGTTTCTAAAAAAAAAAAAAAGTGGGGGCTGTCAAGATGACATAGAGGTAAAGGGCATGTACTCCTTTTCCAGAGGACCTGAGTTCAGATCCTGGCATGCACATTCACTGAGTCACCATCCTATAGCTCCAGCTCCAAGGCACCCACACACCTGTTGCACACATTTACACAGACTCACACGTGCAAGTGAAAATAAAGATACATATTGTAAGGCACCTGAGAAATTTATGTTAGATTCCACAGTAAATATAGTAACAGACTCTCCCTCTTCCCAAGATCAATTCATAGGTGTGCATGCATGTGTGCACGCACATGTGCGCACACACACACACACACACACACACACACACACACACACACACACTCTGTCCAAGCTTAGAGAGTAAAGTACAGATTTTCAGAATTTTCTCTCTCCAGGCAGACAATTCTAAGAGAACTTTGATAGAATGATATATTTTGTTAATAAATGACTCACCAGGAAATAGGTGTTTGGAGGAATTTCGTAAGATGTGATTAATTAGAACTAATCATATAAATCAAGAAATAAAGAATTACTTATAAATTCAATGAAAATTAGCACATAGGTACTGGAACTGCATTAGTGAATGGAAACACTACAATAAGCCTTATAGAGTTAAATTTATATGAAATTTAAAATTAAAGTAGTTCATTATTTAGCAATAGACACATATTCCTGTGGTCAAATGACATGCTATATAACACTCACTTCCATAGTCCAGGTTGTGACATCAACTGAACCTAAGAACCCATTAAAAAACTCATTGAATAAAAGTCACATTTGAAGGGCAGCTTAGAACTAAGACTATTGAGAGTGACTGCTCACCATCTCCCTGGCCTTCTATGGCTCATTTCTGGGACCTGAACCCAGGACCTCACGCATGCCAGGCAAGTGCTCCACCACTGAGCAACACCCTCAACCCTATGACCCGTCTTGACAAATAAACGGAAATCAAATTAGCTAGCATAGAGCAAACCAAAACTCTAACTTGTTGCAATATGCGTCCAACATTCCAGTTCAAAAATTAAGCAAGTGAAAACAAATAAGAACCACATCCTGCCAAAGCTGGAAGGGGATTTACCTGGACTTGCCTTTTAAGATTACATTTATCCTCCTGTGAACTTTGAGAGACCTTTATTGCTGAGCATGAAATTGATATATCGGTGTGGCACATTTATCAACTCTAAGAGAAACTGAATGACCCGTAGGGGGGGCAACAATAAATAATTGCACTGCGTGGTCTGACCACTGATGGTCACAGTACACAACTTCTGTGCGATTTCCTTACTGAAGGACAAGGGCAGCGCCAGTTACACTTACCCCTTAATTATCCCCGTCCCCTCACCTGCTATATTAGCTATAAATCTCCTGGACTTGCAGTTTTCGAAATTAGCAATGACATTTTAATTCAAGTTGTAAACAAGATGGGGGTTTTGGTGTTAGTTGGATGGAGTCTGACAACATCTGGAAGGGTTGAGAGCGCTAGGACGGCGGGGCTTGTTGCTCACAGCTGCAATTCTAGTGTATATAAATCCTTTCATGGCTGTAGAACACACCATCAGCCTGTCAGTCAAACTACCCAAAGAAGGGGAAAGTGTTTAGATTGAAACCCAGACACCTGGAATGTTTAGTTCCAAAGCCCCATCCCCACCAATGAGAGCTTGAACAAGCAAATCCAGCAATTTGAGGACTTCCTTAACTTTCAATATTTTTCCAGAGTGACCAAGCAGTGTCTGGAATGTCAGAGATATGATATGATGAGTGGACACTGGGACATTAATATGATCTGGAGTCTTCAATTAAAAAGAGAAACACCGCTTAAAATCCCGGTTCATAAAAACCACCTTGTCATTAACATAAACTTTTAGTGGTTTAGCATAGAAGTGCCTGCAAACAACCCTCTCTGGCAAGCCAGTTCGGTTATGCTGAGGCTAGAGGGTGAAGGGCGCTTTCCGGAGAATCAGCTTACCTGGAAAATGAGCAGCGCCGCAGCTATGCTGAAGGAGTGCCAGTCCATCGCTGCCACTGGCTTCGGTTACATCCACGACCAAGGGAGTTTTGTTTGTACTTCTCTGCTCTTTTCCTTTCTCCCACTCAGCTGGTGTCTGATTAAAATAATTTCCCAGTAGATGTTCTTACTTGCAGGCTTTGAGGTGTTTCTGCCTTCCACTGGGAGAAGGAGGGAAGGTACGTATAACCAGTCTGGATCCCCACCCTAAAAACTTGGGCTGGTCTCAGTGAAATGCTTGACAAGATCATCATTGCTCCCAGGTAAAAACTCAGGGACACACCCTTCTGCCGGCCGAGAAGCTGCTCTCTATGGGGGTAGGATGTGCCTCTCCTCCACAGAAGGCAGGGAGTCAAAGTGAACACAATATGGGGGCTACTGTTCATGCTGAGGGCTTCTTGGCTGTTTAGAGGTTAGCTCCTCATCAGATTAATAGGGCAAGTATGTTTAGAGTGTCTGCATCATTCATAGGCTTGTACAGTTTATGTTCAGAGCCAAACCCTCAGGTCACAGCAGAAAATTATAAGCTTTTCATTTTCGTGGATGTTAGGAAAGATGCAGCGATTTCCTAAGTTGTTAAGAGAAAAAAATTGCTAATGATCAGTGAGGTATTTTTTTATAGCATTTCTGAACAGACAAGATATAACTCTTACCGTCATTTGGTTCTCTGTGACCTGTCTAAGTCCGGGGAGGCCTCCATTTTCCCTCTATGAATTTTTTTACTCACTCTTTAACTTTCTCCTCTTTGAGAGCCTGTCCTCTGAAAACACAGTAAAACAAACTTGAAAATTTAGCCAAGGTAAATTTAAAGGAAACAACCACAGCCCCCCATCAAAATGCTGTTGAAGTTCAGTGTTGAAATTGTAATGAGAACACGGAAGATGCACTACAGGTAGGTGGGTTAAAAGTCAGGCATGATTCCCAAGCACAGGGCCAAGGCTCTGCACAGCGAGCCAATTAGAACACAGGGAAAGGCTGCCCACACATGCAGAGCTGCAAGAGCCGGAGCTTAGCAAGAATGTTGACCCATACAAGGCAACGTTCGAAGACTCTCTTGGGAGATCTTCACTTAACTACTGTCTCAGGAACCCTGCTGGAGCTGGATATCTTCGGGGTTTGCTATGGGACTCTGAAGCATGATCTGTGAGATAGTATGTAGATTATTGTCAGAGCGTGCTAAACGTGTCCCAGAAAAGAGAGAGCTCTCTGGGGGCCAGTCTACAGAATGCTGTCATTTTGCTCTTGGTATGTGGCAACAGTTACTTGGTGGCGGTTTGAAATGTCACATGGCTTTCTGTATCACTCAGAGGGGTGGATAAAGGGGTTCTGTGTTTGCAGTGAGGAAAGATGTTTGTGGTAGGGATTGTTGGTGTGTATCAACAACACAGGAGAGGAGCCGACCCAATTCCTTATTAGCAAATGAGAATGAGTTCATCTGTGACACTTCAGACTGTGACTTAGTGTGAAGACGGCATTAGGAGGTGGATCACGTGGTGGGGATGACAGAACCTTCGCTGGACACCCAGGACAGGAGGCCTGGCTCTAGGAGGCTGTCAATGACAAGGGAATGTTCTTCCACCTGGAATTCTGGGCTCGATGCCAGGGAGTGCACGGACCTTCTTCATCCCTTGAATTATCTTTTCCTGAGCCCATCCCTGGCTCCACCTTAACTTAAGGCCCTATTCCAACAATGCCAACCAACCAGATGGTTTGGGGGACAGCAACTTATCTGGCAGCTTTCTGGGGAGGAGGTAGGGTGGAGCCCCAATCTTTCTGAGTGGTGGCAGCCTAAGCAGGAGAGCTAGCTACCTCAAGCAGAGTGGGGAGAGCGCTTACGAGTCATTTCTCTTCCTTTGCCTCTTTCCTTGTCTTTTCACCGAAATTTCTGTATGTCTAAGTTTCTACAATGCAGAGCTATTCTCCGCCCTGTACAAAACAGCGGCTACTGACTGTCAACTGCCTACTGAGCGTTTGAAATGGGACCAGTGCAAGTGAGGAAGTGCGTTGATTTACTTAGTACACGCTGTAGATAAGCAATTGTATGTGTGTGCTACTTTTGTTCCGATTCCAACTAGCAAAGCTTCTTTACATAGCCCAAGATGGCCTTGAACTTAGTGTCTCCTCACCACAGCTTCCTGAGAACGGGGCTTTGCGGCTTTCTTCCACCATATCTGCTTACCCTTTGGTTGCTCTTCCTTCCAGGAATTCCATGAATCATGGGCCCAGACCCCTTTCCTGACTGTGTACTGCTCCTGTGTCCTGAGGTGGAGGAGAGAAAATATCTTGAAGCGGACTGTGTGGTTCTTCTTTCCTCTCTTTATGTGTTTCCAGTCCCCTCAAACGGCCCCTTCTCTGCAGCCCCTTCCTCACTGTGGTGGGACCCTTACTAACTTGCACCTGTCCTTAACATGCTCCAAATTTCCCCTCAATATTGGTGACTATGTAGGGGTATTCAATTTCATAGAAATTATATAAAATTTGGCAGGGGGAGAGGGTATTTTTGAGTTGGAGTTTCCCAAGTGAGCTGACCAAGTTCATCAATGGTATCAGAATTCTGGAGAAGGGATTTCCCTTTTTCTTGATAACACACTGTAAACCTTAGAATGCTACCTAAACGAACAACATTTCTGCATCTCAGCAAACTTGGGACAGCATAACCGTTTTTTGGAATACACACACACACATGTGTGCACGTGCGCATACACACAAATCCTTAAGGATAATAGAGTTTAATGATCTTGAATTCTGTTGGCATAGTTAATGGAATTCCCTGCTTCTCTAACCTCAAAGTGCTCACAGCAGGCATCACATTTCAGAGAAACTTTTGAGAATTTGCTATTCGACATATGTAAACCTCTGGCTTCAATATGTGTCAAAATTACACTGCCCAGCCCAACACATTGTCTTAAATAAGACGGCAGATGAGGGTATTTCAACCACAGCGCTGCATGAACACAGCCAGCGGTGGAGGCCTGTCACTCTGAGACTCAGGAGGGACAATCAGGACAGATGTTCTGTCATCCTCAGCTACACCGTGAATTTGAGGCCCATTCATAGGATTGTTTTTACATCTGTCCCAACTTTCCAGTGATAATAGTGTTTCGTAGCTCCCACAATGAGTTAGCGTCACACACAAAGATGTCTAAGACAGGCGTCTCTACCTTAGATGAAAAGGGCTTCATACATATATGAAAAATAAAGTGAAATTTTATGCTTAATCAGATTACTGGTTCAACAAAACAGCTCTGGTAGTAGCTATGGGGATGTTCAGGGAAGTTTGAACAGGATTAGTAGAGAAATAGTGTAAGGGTTATTAGGGTAGGTCATGTTACATATTTATTTATACACCCATGTATAAATCATATATGCTTAGTTATGAGAGGAACTCTTGTGATAATGTAAATTCCTTCTGGTCATTCAACGATTAAAATAGATGAAATAAATACAGTAAAATCTTAGCAACTATTAATGCTCAATGATAGCATAAGGTGTTCTCCGTTATTTTTGTTTATTTGAAACTTTTCATAGTAAGATAAAAATAGTAGAGTAGGCATGAAAACTTATAAATTTAGATCAAGTCTGGCTCTCTGCCTGTTTGTCTATAGTTGGAATGCACCAGACTCATGGGGTCTTCCACAGGGTCTATGGTAGTATCACTCTGCACAGGCGGAATGAGTTTGGTAGACATCCAGGAGTCTGAGAAACTTAAGAATAACCATCTAATCTTTACAGACAGTGGTGACTGATGCTTGCCCAGAACAGTTCCATTAAGGGCTTCAGGACAGTCCGTGAACAGTAAACAATTTACTGCAGAAATTGCTGCCTTTGCTGTGTTTTAAAAACTCAGTTCCCGCAGCACTTCTTCAGGATTGCAGTGGTTGTGGCGGAGAGAAACAGAGAGCACAAAACTTCCCATTTATTTACCGCGGGTTGGAGTGTGAACTGGTGCCGCTTCTGTGGCAATCGGGGCAGAGGTTTCTCGAAACCCTAGAAGGAGATGGACTGTCTGACCCATATCTACCATTTCTGTGCAGATCCAGCTCTGGAGCCGCTTCTCGTTCATGTTTATTGCTGCTATACTCCCAACAACCAGGAAATGGAAACAGCCTAGGTGTCCATCAGCTGATAAGTGCGTAATGAAAATGGGATACAGAAACACAATGGAATCTTACTCAGCTGTAATAAAAAGTTTAAATTGTGAAATTTGTAGCTAGATGGATGGAGCTGGAAATATCAGAGTGAAGTAATCCAGACCCCGAAAAGACAAAAACCTCATGTTCTCTCTCGTACATGGATGCCAGCTTTGACTCTTTAGATGTCTGTGTTTAAACTGGAGTACATACAGAAGTCAGGAAATTAGCGAGGCCCACGGGAGGTGGATTTTGTGGGAGAGGGCTAGGACACAGGTACTATGAAGAGGAAATGAGAATAATAGGCAAGGGAGGCCTAAATGGAGTTGGGGTGGGAGAGCAGGTTAGAGGATGGAGTTTGGGAAAGTTTTAACATTTAAAACCTTTAAAAAATTCCTATGAAACTCTACTGTTTTGGAAACTTCACAAAATATAGCTCTATACTGAGATACCTGTAACTAAGACAGTGACAGACCACTTTATTACTGGATTTAAAATTTACTCCATAAGATGGGACTCATGTTGGTACCATTAACTGAACCAAAAACCTGTGACTGGCAAGGTCCATAGGTCATAAACCCTAATGCTATTATTCTGCTAAATGGTTATAGTAATAAACTGTCCTCCTAAGTTTTTACCTTTATACACATTTATTAGTACATCTCTCAGCCTTCATCAAAGCATCTTCCTTTTACAGTAGATGGTCATTAGCACAGACACACAGAATTGGTCCTATGTTGAGAATCAGAAACTGTGGAGTTCTCATCTCTGAGTGGAACATTTATATCACAACCCTCTTCCCAAGTTGATGAGGGCCCAGCATGAAAGTCCTTGAGCTCACAGATCTCCAGAGAAACAAAGAATGCTAAGCATACAGGA